TCTATAAAGTCGATATTAATATCCGGCTTCTAAATCGGAATTAATCTATATTACCGGGGTAGAATTATAGTCTTTTTAGCGGATTTAAGCTTCCGCCGGACTAATAAGCGTTTAGCGAATACTTAAGCCGATACTAGAAGATCCTAGTAAGCGCTAATATTAATAGCGTCCCGCGTATTAAGGATATCTAGGCTATTAGGATAATTAAACTCTTATCCTAGGAGTAGACCGGCGTTAAGCCTAAGAATAACCTAAGCTCCTACGTATAAGCGGCCGATCCGTGTATTTTTACCTATTATACCACGGACTAGCACGGTAAAGGTAGCATATCCTAGGGTCTTTATCGATCCTACGCCCTAAAAAATAACGCGTTTAGTAGAATCGATATATTTTTTGGCAAATCGACTAAGGAGCTACTAGCTTACTATATAGCGGGAGCCTTCTAAGTTAGTATAGATGTCGAACGGCTTACCTGTTAGCGTGCTATAGGCTTAAATCCGGGCGTATATATACTTATAAGGACCCTTAGCAGGATCCTATACTTCCTAAAAAGCGTTATCGATTAAGGGAGAGTCCTATCTACCTTAGTCCGCTAGTAAGTACGGCTAGCGATAATACTTCTTATAGTAAATAGTCTTAGTATTAGATCTTATAGTCTTATAGTATTTACTATACTCTCGGCGTACCTAGTAAAGATCGGAGTACTTAGGCACGAAACCGGGTCTATTAGCGATATAGTATAGTTATTCACTTTTCTTATTATCCGCGCTATTATTATATAATGCTATAGAGCCCTTAGAGTCTTCCTCCTAATAATAATACTTATCTTCCGGCTCCGCGTTAGCGTTATCTTCCGATATAGGTCCTATAATATCCTCGGTAGCTACGTAGACGAGTTCCTACAGTCTCTTTTAGCGATAGTCTTAAAATCGGCGGTTAGACTAATTATTCGCGTTATTAGTTAATAGGCGTTAACCCTTATCGTTTATAAAGCGAGTAGCATTTAGCGTAGGTAAAGTATATAGTAAGTCATTATAGCGAAACTAGCTTAGACTAAAGGAGCGATAATTAGATTACGGTATACGGCGGCGTTCCGGTGTAAGCCTAGACTATTAGTCGTAATACTATAGAGCGGGTAGTTAGATATAAACGCTAGGCGAGGCACCGTATAGTCTACGGGTATCCCGGTTAGTCCTTGGGAGACTATAACGACTAATAAGGTGCTTCTAACTTCCTTAGGTATAGTTCCGGTACTATCTAGGTATCTAATCGGCGAGAGTAGTTATAAAGTCTATCTAGCGGATAAGAGGCCTAGGTTATACTATAATAACCGCTAGGTTCGTGTTAAACTTATCCTAGATAATAGATAGAAGCTTTTCCTTAGGCTTATTAGCGGCCTTAGCTAGGCGAATAACCTTATCGGCGAATACACGGATATCACGGCGGAGTACTATATCTTCTAACGTATACTTCTATTAGTATAGCTTATACTCGGCTTTTTCGCGCGGGAGCCTAAACCTTTCCTGGAAAGCCTTTATCTAGTCGGCTATAACGGTATCCTTATTAAAGAACTCGCGGCGGCCTATATTAAGACTTATAAACTATACGGACGCTTCCCCGAGGAGGCACCGTAATAGGCTATAAGGCACGCTTCGCCTATAGTTATCGCTTAGACCGGTATACTATTCGATTATATCGGTAAACCGGTAGATATCTATAACAATAAGCTTAGTTCCCTTAATACGTATATCCTCTTTGGCGGAAAAGTACCGGGGAGTGTTAAAGTAGCTAAGGTCGTCTACCTTAAAGCGGTAATTACTCGATAACGTCTAGTCGTTTCGGAAGTTAGCTATACTCTATATAATAAACGCGGCGAGACTTATTAGTAAGATATATATAAACGGCTATTATAGGCTCGCGCTTTAGATATTCAACGGGTTTAGGGTATTATCCTAGCTACTTTAACCGGGGATACTAAGGGTATTCCCCCGGTTACCTTATCCTTAGTCTATACCGCTATTACTTTAGGGTCTCCCTTAACTATTAGCGGCGTAGCCTTATATACCGCTAAGACTAGTATAATCCCCGCGGTTCCTAGAGTTTCCTGCGGTATTCGCGGTTATAGGAATATAGATAATATCCGATAGGGTTAGATTATAGCGTTTATCCTTATTATCTACGGTTAGCGAATAATAGGTGGATTCGGTAGTTTAGCGGTCTATAGTACAGGATTAGCGGTTAATAGTATTAGAAATAGTATTAGCGGCTAGTATCGGTAAGAAAAACGAGTTAGAGCGTTCGTTAATATATTACTCGATAAAGGGGTATAATATATCCCTTTTATCATCCGGGAATCCGCCGACTATTACGCCTATAATAGGGTATAAGGGGAGTAAGCTTAGCCCTATACCTATATTAGTATAGTCGGGCTTTAGCTTAATAGTCGGAAGTTTAGGACTAGCGGTAAAAGGATAGATAGGCTATTTCCCTTTAAGATCCCGAGTTCGGCCGGGCCTTATAAGGAGTTCCCGGTAATAAGGTTCCTTACTTAGCTACTTAGATATAGCGTTAGTGAATTTCGCCGGTATTATAATCCACGTCTAAGGGTATATAGGTTCCTCGGTGGATCTTAAGACCGTGGCTCTTCCTCTTAACGTTAAGGCGCCGTTAGCACTAGGTAGCCTAAGGAGATTATAGGGCTACTTAGCTACGCGAAGTAGGGCGAGAACCTCGGGTAAAAGGAATTTCTTAGCGAGATTAGAATAATCGTTAACTATCTTAATACTATTCCTTATTCTTCTAAGGTCCTAGAGGCGGGGAATATTATTAATAGGGTTAGTATCGGTTATAATTCGGAGCTTTAAGTATTCTACGGCTAATAATCGTTATAAAAGCGGTATAGATAGTGTTTAGCGGTGCACGACTAAAGGACGGTAGTTCCCTTATATACTCTACGCCTAGACCTATTAAAGGGGAGGCGTTTTCGTCTAGCGATAAGGGGTTAAGCTATTCTACTTAGTAACTATATTGGACACGGTAGCGTTACGCAGCTTTCGTAAAATAGTAGTACGTAAACCTCGCGTAAAACTTAGTTACTACTATTTAATATACCCTAACCAGGTATATATTTAGCCAGCTAGTACTATAGGACCTAAGAGCCAGGATTTCTAAGGGGTGACCTTAGGGTGCCGTAAATAGTGGTAAAATAAGATATCTTCTCTAAGCTAAAAAGGGGGCGCGCCCCTAGGACTAATATACCCACGGGTAAACCCTATAGGATCCTCGGTATCTAAGTATATAGTCCTCCGGACACCCTAGTATACGCCACGGCTTCTATAGTATACCCCGTGGGTGCTATAGTATATACTATAGCACCTCTAAGGTACACCCACGGTACCTGGTAGGGTTCTAAGGCGTATTATAGGACTAAGGCTTTCTTATAGAGGTTTATAGAGGTTAGTCCTGCGTGCGCGTGTAGGAGAGTAACCTAAGCCTATAGGTTATTTACGGTATTATCCTATAGCTAGGCGAGGAGGTTATATAACGTGGTATAGATAGTCCCTTCGATATAGGAGTATACCTTATTAAATTCCTTTTACTACGCGTTATAGTCTGCCTTTTCCTCGCGATATATACGGCGATCTTAGAGGTAGCGCGTATACTCCTTTTTAAAGAGGTTATTAATAGATATAGGCGTTTTTACTAGTGGTTCTTTTATTACGGCTATAGCCTTCTAGTAGGCGGCCGTTTTCTTCTTACTAGCGACTATAGCCGCTATAGTAGTAGCCTTACTAGCCGTGGCGGCGGCGTCCGTGGCGTCCGTGGCCTTATCGCCCTTTAGCGTAATAGTAAAAGATAGAGTACCCGGGATAGTAGAGGATAAGATAGCCGTGGCCTCCTTTGTCGTGTTAGGGTTAACGATAAGGGCTTTATATTTACGAATGTTAGGTGGTGTAGGCTTAAGGAGTAGGTAGGCGTTAGCCTCCTTATCGCTTAGCTTTAGATTAAGGTGATTATCCTAGTAGGACGTAGATTTACAGCGTATAGTATACTCCAATATCGTCTAATCCCTTTAGTTAATAAGGGTAGTAACGGCTATTTTCTATTTAGCGTTAGATATATTAGAATATATCTTTATTTACATATCCGTTAGTTAATTAATTAATAAGTAGGTCAGTAGCTTAATTAATCGCTTAATTACTCTAATTAGGTCGATAATAGTTATTTAAGAGTGCTTATCTAAACGTGATTACTTTTTATAATAGAATAGGGGTAGCCTTATTAATATCTATCGTTTAGGTATTATAAACCGGGCTTATAACTATTACACGTTAAAATAGTATTTATATAATTAACTTAGTAGAGCAGAAATCTCGTATATATATATATTATATTAAGTTATAGCTATATAAGTCTTTTATACCCTTAATTTAGGTAGTGAAGACTCTGTTATGGGTATTATATTATTTGGATCCTATCCGGTCTTTTCCGGTATCCTCCCTTATTATATCCTGATACCCGAGGTCCCCGAGATCCGAAGCCCTTCGTCAGGCATAGATCCCATAGGGACGACGTCGTAGTCCGTGTGCCTATACGACACCAGGCTCATAACTATCAGAATAATAATATCGGTACACGAACTTATAATTCTTATTCCTTGGAGAGTTCTAAAGTACTCTAAGGAATATCTATCTACCCACAATAGTACTATAAAAAGAGCTATATAATATATATACTATATACCCTAAGAACCCACTCGGTGAACTAAAGTACCGGCCTGGTACGCCGCCTACACTTTCGAATAGAAATTATCGGCCGCCTATAAATAGCTCTAACTACCTACCTATTTAGAGCGGTTAGGTAGTTAAGGGGGTGTATTATATAGACCTCCCTCGGGGTAGAATAATATAACGGCCGATTACGCGTTTAGGCATAGAAGGTGGATATCCGTAGGATAATCGGGTATTAATTTTGCCTTCGAAAACACACGTTTCACAACGTTTCACGGCTTCAATACAATCAATTTAGAACCTCTCAATCTAACCGGTTGTATCGTATTTACCCTTGACGGTTACGCTGTATTCGACACCGCAAGAACTACGGGCCGTTCAACACAGTATCTGTGACATAACTTAACATGGTATAATGTGGCAACCCAAGAGACCGCGGCCTCCCCAATGCCTGGTTGGAGTCAGGCTAACCCGTAGGTGTTGGCGCCAATCTCTATGTGCCGAACGAGATATCTCCACTGTCATGGCTTGCTGTGCGACAAGGTCAGCTGACACTCCAGATCAAATTCAGCCTCCGATCACATACCCCTTCGTGCTGTTGCACACAATCTGCCACTTCCCTTAGGCCATTGTGGTTTAAGTGACTGACGTGATTGATGCGTATGATCTGATCCCCAGGTCGCAGTCCAGAGACGTGGGCTGGACTACCAGGCACCACACTATTGACTGTGGCAAATGGCGTGCCATGGCGCTGTTGTTCGGCGGCCGGAGACAAGTCGACTGAAGTTCTTGGAACATCTGCTGTGGTGAGTGTGCTCGCAAACCGTTCATGGAGGCGCTCCTCAAGGACAGACATGAGGGCCTTGTGGTCGTTTCGTAGACGGGCTACCTGGGCTCGAGTCATGCGCACTCCCGGGAGTCAGCCCGAGTCTGGATAAAATGACGCGCCGAGGAGATTTACCTTGAGCAACGTCAATGTCTGCTCTTGGAAATCCGTCCCTGCTCGTGAGAGAGGTATGCATATCGACACCATGCTATGCCCGATGTTAGTGGGGCGACATGTGGGTTGACTCTGGTGGTCTATACCGAGTCAAGAACGGCACTCAGTGTGTGCATCTGAGTCTCCATCACCTCCTTCTTTTGTTGCAACTCTGGCAGCGCTAGTTGGTGAAAGTCGTCCTTCAGACCCGCCAAGTCTGAAGGGCCAGAGCGAACCGGCGACACAGTAGACGTGTGCATGTCGTCCCATATATGTATCTGCTGAACCTCGCAGGCTTGCCTTGTGAGCGCACAATGCGCATTGCAGGTGTGGGCGGCTTTTGTGTCAGAATACGATACGTCAAACAGGAGACGCGGGAAATAGACTTGTCAGAACACAAATAAAGGTACGGAATTATGCGTGTGTATTCATCTAGGGCCCTACTAAGGGCGCCCGTACAGATGAGTATTCTGCCCGTAATATAGTGGGGCCCGCTAAGCATAATAAGCTACCTAAGTATACACCTATTTTATATATGGGTAAGGATATTCCGACTATGTCAACCGGATAATCCGACTGTGGTGCAGGTGTTAATACCTGCTATAACTGATAACTAAGCCGGCAGTGCTAAATTAATCCTACTATATAACCCCTAAAACAACGTACAATATATACTTACGGGACCTGAATACACTAATAGTATCACGATAAAGAGTGGAGTATATTATAATAAGATACATTAATATTAGGGATTTTCTTTATAAAATACAGGGGTTTAAATATACTAAAGCAGGGGTTCTTAGTATCCTATCAAGTAATCTTATAGCTCCCTAACACGTTAAAGTCTCTACCTGAAGGCATCGTATTAGCGCTCGAATTAAAAACAGAAAACACTTCTTATGTAAGAATTCTAAGTAGTGACTGCATCTTTTCGTATAGTAAATAGTAGTAGATCGATTTCGGATTGATTTCACGATATTCTGTGGTGGTGTTGAAAAACGTTTATATGAGTGTAGGTACGTTTCTTAAGCCCTCTTAATTTTCCTAAAAGGGTAGACTACGAAGGTACCACTTTGTACGTTTTTTCAGGGGTTATATAGTACGCCTATAACGCTTATAACGCCTAATTCATCCTACGGTCGTAATCTTCAATTAATCCCTTTTATGGTAAAGATTGTAAATAGCAAAAACGGTGTTTTCGTATTAATTAATCAACTAGTGCTGTAGCTCTTATTACAGCCGTTTGATCGCTCTATCCGTACTAGACTAACCAGATATTCTATAGAAAGCGTTTGGTATACGATTCTCTGCCTGTGGCATTCCCCCACTATCTCTTCCACGTCCTATTCCCCGTATTCCTCGGTGTAAAGTAGCTCTAGATACCGTCTTCTATATCGGTAGGACGGCATATAGTATTATTATCTACGCTTTCGTTATAGTTAGTAGTCTTAGGAGGTGGCCGGATAGTAACCGGCACCACTTCTTATCAATAACGTTGAAATATCCTTATATTAGGGCCGTTTCCCCTTCCTACTAAATTTCTATAGCGTGGTATAGAATTATTAGGATATACGCTAAGGCTGCCCACCATAATAATACTAGGTTAGGTCCGTAGGTAGCTCCGGCGAGTCCCCTAATATAGGTAGCGACCTTAAGGCCTTTTCGGGCCTATATCTTAATATAGTCCAGGAACTTAAGTCGTTTATCTATATAAACGCTAAGCCACCAAATAGGGGCGGGTAGGCGTTATCCTCTAGGGCTAGTCTTATAGGCTACTATAACCTTATAGTAAAGATAGGGAATTCTAATAGAGGGTAACTAGGGGTTTTTTTAATAGGAGAAGAGTTACGCTTTAGCCTTATTGAAGTCTAATTCTACCCTGTTATCTTTATGCTAAGCGAGCTAATACTTTACTATCTTAGTAGCTAGTTATATTACTTTATTAATATCCTTATAGGCGCCGATAATATAGCAGTTATTAATGTATCCGAACCAATTCTCCTTATTAGGTAGTTTATATATATCTACGATACTAAGGGCCTATCCGATAAAGGAAGGCGGTAACTTTTATAGGAGTCGTACTAGGTCTAGTAGGGTATAGTCGGCTAGGTATAAGTCTCCGAAGATAAGTCGGACTTATCGCTCCGCGGAGAAGGACTCCTACTACTTAATAGTAAGGGTATGCTACCCTTACTAGTATAGTCTATACACGAACTATCTATAGAGCATTATATTAAAAGCCCTCTTTATATTATTAATCACGGTAATAACCTACTTCCCCTAAGCTAGCTATAACTTAACTTTATAGGTAAGTACTACGGCAGGTGAACTATTAACCATCCCGGAAAGGCGCTAATATACTAGGGGTTTATGATTCCTACTACTATTACTCCGTATACGGTCCTTTTAGCCATTAAGCGTTTAAGGCCTTTACCTAGGATACTAAGTAGCTAAAGTAGGCGGTACCCGGTAATAGTTCAGGAGTCTTTTCTAGGCTTATCGATTATTATTCCGTCTCCCCTTTAGAAGGTTCGGGGGTAGTATCTAGCCCGCGTATAGGCTTCGAAGAGTCTTATAACCACTTTCTTAATTTCCGGCTATACTAGCTATAGGAGAGAGATAAAGATATTATCCCCGCCGGGGGCGGTTATAATAACCTTTACTATATAATAATATACCTTATTCGTTAGGATTATGCTATTCTTTAGGATAGATTATAACTAGGCTATTAAGTAATTCTAGGGGTTTTTTAGATTATCGATATCTAGCTTTTAAACTAGTTTAGTTCTATATCAAAAGACTGCTTTCTATATATCTTCGAAATATCCTAGACCGTTATAAAAGATTAAGGGGGGGGTTAGCCCCTTCTTTAGCTTATACTAGCCGATCACCTTGTATAGGCCTTCGGTATTCTTTACCCGGCTAATCCGTTTATTCTGGTATTCCTTACTAACCCGTCATACGGTCTTCCGAAAGGTTACCTTCGCCTTAGTATTACTTAGGTCATAGTATCTACAGCGTATTATGTCTTAGTAAGCGTCTCTATATTCGTTATTCTACTATAGTTATCTATTCCTTACTAGACCTTAGGATAGTATTCCTAGGCATTATAGTACGCTTATAATAACCTCGGTTAGTTACTAGGCCTATTAGCCTAGGTATACGGGGTCTATTTCCTCGCATTCCATTAGTAAAGTAAAAAGCTAGAGGTTCTCCTAGACTTCTCTCTTAATCGCTACCTACTTATCCTTATCCTCCGGGATAGTAAAGTAAGTAGGTCTAATCGGGTTATTCTCTATATTAATATATACGGTACCGACCTATCCTAAGAGAGGGTAGTAATAGATAGATACGCCGGCCTTATCCGTTACCTTAATATTAGTATATAGGGCCGTGGAGAATATTAGGTCTATAACTATCTAGTATCCTCCTTAGCTATAAGTCGTCTTTCCGGGTATATTATATAGGGCGAGCCTCTTCCCTTCTAGCTATTCGGCGATCTCTTCTCTCTTACCTATGATTTAGGGGGCCTCTAGCTTCTAATCCCGGTATCTTATATCAAAGTCCCCACCGATTATAATATTCGGTAGAGGGGTTTAGTCTACTAATATATCCTAGGTATCTAGATCTCTGGATAGCCCTTATAGATATTCAGAAAGTATATCCCGTTCACCTTTACTAGTAATACGTCTCTTAATCCTAGTAAGGGGGACTCTATCTATTATGCATTAAGTCCCGCTCGTATATAAGTTATAAACCTTAGTTCGTCTCTAGGGTTGGGCTATAACCTTATTGGCAAGAATCTCTTATAGTCCGATAGGTTTAGTAAGGTCCTAACTCGGGCGTATCCTTTTAGTAGCTCTTAGTATATTAGTATATTAAGGTTCGCTTTATCTGCTATTACTAGTATAGCCTTTAGTAGGTTACGGTTTTTATCTATATTCTATTAAATATAGGATAGACCTATCCGGGTAGTTATAGCCCCCCGGTCGCCTTTTCACCGGTTACTCCTCCGGTTTATTTATTCCTGTGTTAGTAGTTATCTACGCTAGTATAGGTTCCTATAGGGGTTCTTATGCTAGCGTTTCGTCTTTTCGTAGCTATAATTCTATATAGCTACTCTTTTTATTTATAGTAGCTAGGGGCGTTTAGTCTTCTCTATCGTCCGCCTTCCTCTTAGCTAGGATCTACGGCTATATCTATTCCTGGGTTCTATCCTTGGTTAGAATCCTAGGGTCTTCGGGGGAATTGGTCTTAGTCTTATCGGGGTTATCAGTAGGCTTATCTATTTCTATCCCCTTTATTTCCGAGATACTATCCTCTAATAAGCCCTAGCTAGGTAAATCCCTGGCCAGCTAGTACTATAGGACCTAGAGAATCCAGGCTTTAATATGCCCTAGCCGGGCATAACTCTAGCTAGCTAGCACTATCGAACCTAGGGAACCTAGGATTTAAGAGTAACCTTTACTATAGTAAATAAGGTATACTAAAGATATCTTCTCTAAGCTAAGGGGGCGCGTCCCTGGAACTTCAGTACTCCACGGGGTTTATCCGTAGAATCCTCGGCTCCTACGTATAGGAACCCGGGTATAACCTAGAGAAGCTATAGTATACGCTAAAGGTGCTTCTAGTATACCCTGTGCATGCTATAGCTTATACTATAGTATACGCATAGTACGCCCGTGGTACGCCCTAGCGTTCCCGGTAGAATCTAGGGCGTATTAAATACCCCGGGAGATAAATCCCTACGTCCCGCGGGCTTTCCTTAATAACTACGATAGATTTACTTAAGGGGCGTTATTGTTATACAAGTAAACCACGGTATAGTTAGGGAGGATAGAAAGAAAAAATATTCTTACCCCGCGGTGCCTTAATAATAACCGCCGTTATTATTATTTACTACTTAGCCGAACGAAAAGAAGAGAAGAAAAGAAAGTAAAAGCGTGCCTAGTAAAACCTAAGGCGAGTAAAAGAAGCCGATAGAAGGAAAATAACTTAGTACTATCCCGCCGTTTATAGCGCCGTATACTATAACGAGAATATACGTACTAATACTATATACTAGAACCCTTTTATTACAATATTCCTTTATTAAGCTTTAGTAGCCTAAATACCTACCGCGTTTAATCGCGTAGTTAGTCTAGTATAGTAATCTTATCTTCGTCCGAAACGGACTACGGCTTAACTATCGGAATACTTTATTAACCTAGAGGCGTGTTTAGGCCGAGCGCTAGCTAATTTAATATAAACTTTATAGTATATACTTTAACCTTAGCCCGGTTAGGGGCGTACGCCTCCTTTA